TGCTGACACCTCTCCTTCTAGCCACGATACCCATTCTACAGTGCACTAGAAGGGGAAGTGTGCTGTGCGCGGCGCGTTCCCATGGAGGTGAGGGGCCCCCCGCAGCGATGAAGCAAGTTCAGTACAGCCCGGAGGCGCTTGGGGACGCTGCGAGCCAGAAGAGTGCGTGCGTCAACACATGTTGCACTGTCAGCTTCTGCTGTTAACGCGTAACCAGTTCCTCGTTGCCGGTACTTATCGAATTGAATAACTCTTCTCCTCGCCAGATTGTGCTGTACGTGAGTGAAGAAGTTACGGTGATGTTTGCGCTTGTCTAATGGAATGAGAAAAAAATGACTGGGAGACAGTGGGACAAGTGCGACGTCTTCTGCATTGTGCTGAATTGTAACAGCAGCTACCGCTCTTTTAGGAAGGCGCGCTCCTTATTTCGAGTGCCGTTGAAGCTGACCGCCGGGAAAAATGATCGCAGAACATGAAGAGTGGTGATCCAGTCATCGACGAGAGCAGCGCTATTTGTGAGTGACACATCGAGGCAATGTTTATGTACCAAACTTTCAAGACGACTATCGACGGTAAGGTTATTGTGATTGCCAGAGACTTACCACTCTTGATGCCATTCAAAGATGCCATTCCTGCTACTTTCCCTGATGCTCCCAAGTACCTTTAAAAATCTCTGCCGAAATAAGTGGAAGGATAGCAACCTTAGCGATCAGGTTCTCCCCAAAGTGAAGACGTGAGAGCAACACGTGCGTTGTCAGAAGTTGAGTCGAACGACGTTGATCAAGGCATTTCAGTCGATGATGTTCCTGAACAAGAATGCCGAAGAATGTCAAATGATGTTGGGTGAGACGGTGCCGCTGATAAAACTCGTGACCAAGAGTTTCAAGGGCTGTCATTTTCAAAGCTCACCATCCCAAATGAGTGGTCGGAAATTTTCCTGCCGTGTGTTGGGGACTCATTTCTTTATGCCGAGTTGGAAGTCAATGCTGTTGAATATAGCAAGGTATATTATATCTATAGCGTTGAAAAAAAATCATTCAGATTAAGAAGCAAGCTGCTGAAAGTTCTGCAACCGCCGAAGTTCTCATAAGAGAAAATAAGTGGTGCCAAGAGGAACACGTAGCACGAGAAGAGGCAGAGTTGCTGATAAACAATGTGAGCAAGTTGACTTTGTGACACGGCATGGGGATGGCTGATAAATGCCCAAAGTTTAATGGGGTGTTCTTTTCGAAGAGCTGCACGCTTGTAGTAATTTACCTCAGTGCTTGCATGTGTTCACTGCAAATATGATAGAAAGCTGATACTCAACCAGCTTTCCAGAATACGATGTTAGTTGTGTACGAAAAAAAGTTCTGACAATGTACGACGTTACCTTCAGAGAACGGAAGCCAAGCTTAATTAGCAGCGCGAAAATGAGCTTGAGTCAAATGAAAACAAAAAATGAGCAGTTATTTGAAGAAGCAGTAGCTGGAAGAATTAGAAGTCTTCGGTTGAAGCTTCCTGACCGTTTAGTATGCGAAGCAATATAAAATATATAAAACACACATTACCGAAGGCAGACACTTGTATGCAAAAAAAAAAAAAAAATTCGCCAGATCCCACGTATCTGAGAATCAACGTTATGCGAAGCATGTGGAGGGAAGCTGACCGTGTTGCAATTTTTTATATTGAGTGACACGTCATTAAATGATGCTAAATATACGTACAAACGTTACACGCACAGACATATGTTGAAGAGTTGCAGATGTTTATATAACCAGTTTTTTGCATTTGCACAACGATATCAACTGGAACATGCGTATTAGCAATACCAGAAGCTGATATGAAGCGTTCGTGATAGTGAAGATGCTGGCCCTGGACAGTGCTACACGAATCAAATTCAGTGCATGGCACCTAAACAATTGGCGTTAACAAGACGTGACGGCTGTATCAAAGGAGTACATATGTACTCCTTTGTGTACACTCTAAAAAATATCGAGTAAAAAGGGTGTCTTTTTGTCCCACAACAATAATCGTCATCAGACTTCCGTGCGCTTCTTTTCTTGAAAACTCGGTGCTGGCCACTTTCCTATTGAGAATGCAATGTAACCCTGATAATGGGCATGTCGATCGTGACTGAAATGTACCGGGCGCGTGGTGATAGCGCAAGGATGGAACGCAGTATAGATGACGATTATTGTTGTGGGACAAAAAGACACCCTTTTTACTCGATAGTTTTTTAGAGTGTATACCAAAAGGAGTACATATGTACTCCTTTGATACAGCCGTCACGTCGTGTTGCAGTGCTGCCGATGAGCAGCACTGCAACCACTATTAGTGTTTCACGAAGACTAGCGTCTATTTGAAAAGTAGTTCCGAGACCTGGCATAGCTCTGTGTCAGAAAGCTTGACTGCCACGGCAGAATGCCTGGGTTCGATTCCTGCTGGCACCCTGAAATTTATAATTTGCAATCGTAGGGGGTCAATGCTACCTTGTCAGGTTTTTCTTAACACTTCCATTTATTTATGCCTTAGTTGTATCGATGCTACCGATGTCGGGTATTGCTTAACGCTCACGCTTTAAAGTTGCCCATGTGTGTTCTCGTCGTTCCTGGGTAGATAGTAAAAGTGTCAACCACTAGTGGCACATACCCGCATACCAGCGACACACACACGCCCGTGTGTATGTGCCACTGTCTGGCTGCAAGTGTTTGACGATGTACGTGATGGGATTGTGATATTAATCATGTCTTGACCAGCGTGTCATATTTGTCAAACCATCTTGCCCTCCCATGCAAATTTTGAATCACGCCGAGTTAAGGGGGCGACCCCGAGAGCACCCCAAACGTAAGCGGCTAGGTACGCTCAAAGTCGCTGAAGTTCACTATAAAATGCTTCGCATTCAAAATAGTGATTTAAGCTTTATAAGTGAATACGGTGAAATTTACCCAATACTATTTGAAAGTGCATACTTCAAAAAGAAACAAGCTCGTCTGGTGTAAACGACCACACCAAATTGTAACCGGGTGTTTTTGAATACGCTCGTTACAGCGAGAGAACGGCTAGTGCTTATGTGGCAGGGCTGAATTTTACCATTAAGTGGCATTTATCACACACAAAAAAGCCGCGACGATAACTCGGAACAATACACAAATTGGCCACACAGCCCACTCACAGAGCGATCACGGTAGCGAGTGTAGCGCTTTTTTAGCCAGCAGCGCTCTCTAGCGCCGCGCGGAGTGGTCATCGCTAGGAGGACCCTATTTTCGGCGCCGCTCGACACACTTACCCTTCTAGTACGCCACGGAGGAAAGAAAGGAAGGAACCTTTCCTTCCTCCGTGTAGCACGCTGTACCCATTGAGTGACACTGCCATTTAGCAGTCAACCCAACAGATAGCACTACTTGTGTATGTCCAGAACTTCTGGCCATGTTGCTCCGGTGATGGTTAGAAAAGCCCTTACAGGGTCTGTTTTCTATTTAATTTCTCTATATACATTGAGCGAGTATTAATAATCTTACCCCCTGATTCTTTCAAGGTTCATTTTAAAGTTATCCTTGTTTCTATTTTTGTGGTTAGCGTCTGCTTCAGAAAGCGCGAGTGTCCTAGGCCGAGAGCAGAGACGAAGACGTTGCAGTCTTTGTCCTGGGGTACAACCAGTGGGCCACAGCAGAAGACAAGCTCGCGAATGTGTACTTCTACCTCAAAGACAACACCCAGATGTGGCATCTTCATGGAAATAAGCTTGGCTACGTGGGACGACTTCCGCAACCAGCTGGTTGACACCTTTACCAGTCTCGACAGAAAAGAAAATGCGCAACACATTTTGCAAGTTCGATTTCAAAAACGAAATGAGAACGTTGCTACGTTCGCCGAGGACATGACCCGATGAGCACAAAAAGCTCCTCGAACAAATACGTTTTATCGATCACAGGACAAAGACTGCAACGTCTTCTTAGTTTCTGCCCTCGGCCAAGGACACTCGCGCTGCTTCGTTGTCAAAGCCACTGGCATATACGGGTGTCAATATTGTTGTCAAACTGTGCACCGCTGATAGCGCTGATCGGGATCGGCGTTATCACGGAAGGCCGATCGGGATAAAATTTCTGTATATAGTGATTGGCTTTGCCTTCTGCAGCTCGCGCAAAGGAGCCAATCATGATGGAGATATTTGAATTTCAAGTTTATTTCGCATTGCCTTTTTACGTGGAAAAAAAATCTCATTTCGATTCGAACTCACGCCCGATCGTGATAGAAAGTGACCCTGTGACGGCGGTATGAGTAGCTTTCCTGAAATTCGTAAGTGTTCGGTTGCGCTCTCCTACATACTTTTGCTTTTACCTTTCGGACGTCTCTTCGACCTAGCTTCGTACCCTACCCATACACATTGCCGGATTTCGGCGGTCACTTAGAAAGCGGCGGTCGTCGGAACTAAGGTGGAGGCGCCACTCAAGTAGGGGTGTCTTCAAATAGGTTTTTACGTTTTTAGAGCTTATATGCAACAAAATAACGTAAAAAGGTCTTCAAAAGGCTTAAACTTAATTATATTTAACCCTACGTAAGTGACGCCGTCATTCAACAAGCAACTTTTTTAATACAAGGCATCCTCTGAAATTAGTAGCAAACACTAAAATTGCCCATCTTGAAAGCTAAGTACAAAGACTCCTACTCCTACGTAGGCAGCGCTATCACAGATGACCGGCGTTTCGCGCTCATCTAGCAGGCACACTGGGCAGGCACAAGAAATCAAGGAGGCGTTGACACGATGGATGGATGGGTGGATAGATATGGCTGTACCCTTTAGATCGGGCAGTGTCTAGTGCCACCAAGCCGTAATACTTAATCAACCAAAAACTAAAATTATTTTTTTCCCTCTAAGTAGTGAGGTTGAGGATTCTTACTTTGCACTGAAGGGTTTAAATTTCACTCGTGTCTTGACTTTACCTACCAATCAGATAACCTCCTTCTAGTTAATTCTACGGCTCCGTGATTCTACGGCTTGTTGCGACTTGTTGCGTACAAGCGACGCCAACGGCTACTGGCGGAACGAGCGCAGGCGGCTCTAGTGGTAGGTGTTCTTTGGTTCCCATAGTTGTCCGTGGGGCCAAGTTTTAGGAAGAAGCCACTGGTGGCCACGCGATTCCATCAGCATCTGGTGCTGCGCCTGCAATTGGCGCCGGGGTGAGTAAATGAGTGAAAACACGCAGTCCGGAGGTTTTCCTTGCGTGGTCATCGCAGGTACAGCTTCGCTTCGGTTAACGCCTGCCCCGTTGTCCTTACGCTCGCCCTAAGAAAGGCAAAACGAGAAGGCAAAAAGCGTGCTGACGCGTTGTAACTGCTACAAATCGCGTCGTCCACAATAATAATTGTCACTCGTTCCGATGTCTGCTAGAAGTTAGTTGACGCAATCAATGAAACGAGGCAACAGTTGGGTGCACGGGGGCGGTCGCGCGATATCTGTTCGGTTCAAGCGAAGTGCAGGCTGGAAAATGTTCACTTTGCGCAGTGCGGCCAACGAGCTGGAATTCCTAGAATGTAGCGGCATGTTTGGCATGCACGCGCAGCGGCTTTGTACCGCCACTGTACAAGTTCCCGTGAACGAAGTGGCAGCCGAGGCGTTCGCTGTGAATCGGGAGCAAGGTTGCAGGAGGAGGAGGGCTGTCGTCGTTTCACGTTGTTCACGAAGCGTCAGTTATGGACGAAAAGACACCATGCTTTCTTTGGCGGATGAGCTAAACGAGGAAGCTTAAAATGTTGCTTATTAAATGTATTACTTTTCACTTGCATTTTGGGAATAGGTGGTGGCGGTAGTGGTTAGGAGAAAGGCACCTAATTTCTGCAGCCCGGTCTGGAGCACGGTGCAGTGCCTATTTGGGAATAACACCTGAATCAATTGCCATGTTTCTTGCCTGTCTCTGGTAGCTTCTATCTCTGTCTCGTTCATATGAAATCACCGTCAAGATTTATCTCGAGTTGCCTACTTATTTATTATGTGCTGCTTTCGTTATTGCAATATCATAAGTTGCTTATTTTTCTCCGGTTAGGTACTCTCAATTTTCTATGTTGTCAGTAAGCACACAGGTATGACTAGGTCTGAAACAGTTGCACCACTTCATTACATCAAGAACCTTTCTAGTGAAGAATAATAGGTGGGCTCACCCACGTGCTGTCATTCAAAAAAGTTGTTCTTCAGAATGCGTTATGAATGATAGGCGACCTGGTCGGAAAGGCAGATAGAAAAAACAAAAATGCCCAAGAGAATGCAGTGCTGCAAGCATGTCATCAGATGCACGCTAAAAGCAGGATGGACACCCTTACTTCACACTAACCAATGTTGACATGTCTAGAATGCACATCAATATGCTATCTGTAAGTAACAAGCAACATCATATCCTCGTTCTTGTATTAGCTTTTAAGCCAAATGTCTTCATGATTGCAAAATTGTCGTTTGGGAGCAGTTCTTCTGTTCTTGAGCTTCCAGATTCAAATGTTTCTGTCAGAGGGGGTGGTAAGGAGCTAGTGGTCAAACACTCTAACCTGCCATGTTCTTGAACATATTTTTCATACAGATAACTGTAAACCATTAACTGCTCATACAATGATATTGTTATAGGTATTGTTGGGGAGGACCCACCCCAAAAAAAGATTGCATTGCATTTTGTTTGTTTTTTTTATAACTAACTGAGGTGGTTTAATTGACTAAGACCTAACAAAAACTCCTGCAAGACACCTGACGTCACGTTCACTGCCTTTTATTTAGTGTGTTTCATATTGCATTTTGCCGCTGAAAAGTGTGCAATTGTCTATTTTACTTTGTTTCAGTTTCACCATCAATTTTGTGTGTCGCCTTCTGTCGAGTGCTATCAACAGATCAAGACAGATCGCATCTATATGTTGTTTAACGTCGTGGCAATGTTATTGTTTCAATGAGCTGTGTTGTTGTGGAAAGGTGCTATCTGAATCCATCTTGGTTGGGAAAAAATGTGTCGGCTCTATGAATCGACCGGTAAATTGACTTGGCTACAACATGTTCTTGGAGCTTGCAGCTAGTGCTCGTCAGTGATATTGGGCTATAGTTTTAAGTTAGCTTCCTGTTGCCAGACCTGTGCAGAGGTATAACCCTTACCTTAAGGGGTTTCTGACACAATATTGTAATTGAGGCAGTGGGCATTCGCTCGCCATCGCAGAATCGACGAATAAGAAGCTGACTTGCCGCACTTGATTGGGTGAGGTAGACGCAACTGCCTGGTCTGCTCAAAATTTCAGTCTTCTGTATAGTATTAGCTCTCTTCTTATTTTATTTTTAAAAGATGATTTGCTATTTTGTTTTTTATTTGTTCTTTTAATAATAGGCTCACAATCAGTATCACATATTGCCTATTACAAGCTTTCATGGCCAATCCTCCAGAGTGGGTATGTACGTACAGGCAGCAAACAAGTGCAGGCAGCCTTTGGGCAACACAGATACTTGTATATACTGTCAATATACTCTATCCTGTCTTCCATGTATCTCCATGATAAATTGGTAAACAAGCGCTATACAACAGAGCTTCGCAGTAGTTGTGATGGACCATGGGACTGATCCTGCGACCACTTCTCTATCGACCATGGCAACACCTGCACCATCCACGGCAATGCCTGCACTAGCCACAACACCATTCACGTACGTGCTGATCCATCTAAAACACCAAGGAACGTTCTGTGGTACCAAGTTGACGTCGAAGATAGGGTAGCAGACTATGAACATACCAGTGCGCTCAACCGATATGGCCAGACTGTCGTGCTGGCTGATGCGTTGTTCTACCTGAAAGGTACGGCTAAGGTGTGGCACGAGAATAATAAAGAGGAGATAAAAAGTTGTAACAATTTCAAGCAGAAGCTTTCTGACCTCTTTGGGAAGTTCAGGGGTCGAAAGGCGGCCGCTAGGAAGGAGTTGTCCATCCGTGCTCAGATGTCTATGAAGCCGTATATCTCATATATTCAGGACATGCTGGATTATGCTGTAAAGTCAACAATGACATGTCAGAGTCTGACATTATTGTCCAGGTACTCAAGGGGACAGCGGATGACATGTTCTACCTGCTATGTGCCGTAATTGTGCGACTGCCAACGAAATGATTGAATATTGTTGGTGTTTTGAACTGCCCAAAAGCAGGCCTATTCCAAGATCATTCACTCGACTGCCGAATACTGCTGCGATGTCCTCCTGCGAGATTGTCTGACCTTGTCTGCAGTCTTCACCAGCGTTTGAAATTACACAAACTGTCCGTCAGGAAATTGAAGCAATTACTCCTGCTCTTCCCATGATCGGCCACGTCGATTCGCACATGCCTCAGGTTTTCTTGGTCCAGTCAAGTGTGCGGGAAGAACTCGGCAATTTGGGCTTCGCTGTCTGCGCCATTGCTTCGTCTTGGCCAACTGACTTCTACTCAAGGTCGTCGCCTCGCCCCAGGTTCCCACCCCAGGACTGGTTCTACGTACGCTCTCGCAATCCAGCCGAATGGTGTACTGTGGATGATTGGCCGATCTACTTTATCTTCCGCCGTATAGGTTACACCGCCCGGTATTGTCGCAGCCTTCGGTCTTCACCCAGAAACCAGTACAGCACTGCTTGCTGCACCGACCACTACCGCCGTCTCCAGCCTCCTGAGACAAACAGCGGCAACTACCACCAGCCCCCGCACTTCAAGCCATAAACCTTCGATGCTTCTACTACGCCGCACCGCCTCTCACTGTTGCCTCAAGGTCGCCAGTCCCGTTCACCGCCAGGACATCATCCATCATCCCAGTCTTCTCTGTGATGACACTTGACCTTGCCTTTCAATCCTCATCAGAGAAATTAAGAGATGCAGCTCTTCGAGGTGAAGCTGTATCCTCTTTTAACTGCCGACACGATGAAATTGGATCGACGTTGACAGCCTGACTGTTTCTGCACTTGTTGACATTGGGGCTCATATTTCTGTGATGAGTGCTTGACTTTGTCACTGCCTGAAGAAAGTGCTCACACGGGCTGCTCCTGACATTATTCGTTTTGCTGACGGAAGAAGTCTTGCCATCACAGGAATGTGCACAGTGCACATCACAATTGCCGATCACCCCACATCTGTTCCGTTTGCAGTTATTGGGCAGTGCCTAAACACCTAATACCTAAAGCCAAGATAGAAGCAAGGAGAATCATATGTAAAGAAAAAGGTTAAAAAAAGTTGAGAAGAACTTTGCAAAAAAATTTGTGTGCACCTTGGCTTGCATGGCTCGCGAAATGAGGCCATGGATGGTCATTGAAGAGTATAGCCTCCGTGACTTCGTGTCCTTAATGGATGAATTGAGGTGTAAGTTTGCGGTGGATAAAAATCATGTAAAAATACAAATACTGAAATTGGCAGCCATAATGTGGCCACACAGTAGGATTATCAAGGTTTTCGTGCTTCCGAGAGAAAGACAGGTCAGGCCATAAAACTGAGGACAGAACGTGGAATACTCAGTATGCCAGATGAGAAAGGTCAGCCAATCATAGAATACTTAAAGGCTTCTGTCAAACAGTTTTTTGAGGATGAGAGCGTTTCACACTGCCTGCCTGGAATGAAGATGTGTTGAGAGGACATCAAAAGTGCTTAGTATTAATGAGTCTTAAGGAGCTACAGGAAGCATGGAAGCCAAACTCCCAAATGACCTGTGGCTTCTCAACATTTGCAGGCCTGCATCCCTTGCATTTTGTTTTAGCAGGTGGCCCCGGTACGCACACAGTTTGTGTTTGTGTAACTCATCAAAAGTTGATGCTGCGCGCCTCCGAAATCGAGAATACACAAGAAGAGCTGCTGGCGAAAACAGTGCGTTCTTTAGTCAATGAGGTGTGCATGCTTAGAATATATTTGGATTGCCTGGACATGGTCTACATTGAAGAAAGGTTAAAGAACTTGCTTCAGGAGGCAGATAACAGTTTGGGCTTCAAGCTACAGCAGTGGGTGAGTGGCACGCGCTTCCGTCTTGAGACGCTCGTCTTGCCTGAAGATAAATTTTATGAAAGATATTTGGACATGTTTTGTAAAATGAAACATCACCACTTTGTATCTAAGCAACAGGCACAGTACCTCCGAGAACTGAAAGAAAAACTGCATGACACTGAAGAAATCATCCTCATGGGCTTCGCAGAAAATTCGTTTTTAGGCGCAGGATGCGTTCCA